AGAGAGAGAGAGAGAGAGAGAGAGAGAGAGAGAGAGAGAGAGAGAGAGAGATTTGTTCACTTTTTCCCTTCAGTGTAGTGTTCTTACATGCTACATAACCTCAGTTGGTAACATGCTCTAAGGTATGATGTAATGGCAGATCCTATCCGAGATCCTCAATGGGATGTATTTGAACTTCTCACAGATGTCTATGATGTAGCGGTTAGCCTTTTCACCGTCATGCAGAAGATCTAAGTTGATTCCCGTTTGAAGAGAAGTTTTATGGAGTATCTCGATCCTTCTGCTGGGATTTTGTATCTCTCTCAGTCGGGATTGAACCTGACAGGCAGAGTCGGAAATCAGCCTCCTAAATAATCTAGATGTTGATCGGGGTGGAATACACTCTCTTATTTTTATTTTAAAACCCAAACTTTGTTTCACTTTCAGAGAAAACGATTTGGAAGACCAGGAGGACATTTACGACACTGTCTACCAGGAAGACGATGACAAGATCTACGATGACCTCCTGGGCTTGAAGAGAGAGTCGTTTGTGAGTGTTGTGTCTGTTCCTGGCTAGTTTCTTGATGGCTGGTCTTTTCTCTGCCACTGTTTTTTTTTTTTTAGGTTTTAAAAAAACTTTTTGTTCATACAAAATGTGTGTGTTTTGTTGGGTGCTTTCTTTGATAATAATAATAATGATATAAACACTAAGAGAGAGAGAGAGAGAGAGAGAGAGAGAGAGAGAGAGAGAGAGAGAGAGAGAGAATGATTCATCTGCTTTGGATTATTTCCAAACTGTCGCTCTTTGTGATAATAAAGAAAGAAACGGGAAGCGAAAAAAATTCTGATATTTTATTTGCTGGTTCGGGGGTGAAGGAGAACAGCAGAGGATGTCTTCCTTGTTGGTGAGGTTGAGATAAATAAGCTTAATTAGGCCCAGAATAGAAACATATATCTTTCTTGTACAGCATTTCACAGAGACATGCGCGTCCGGGCTAAGTAATACCCAGTGCATACTCTCAATCGAATTCAGTCGAATGGAGTCGGGGGCCAGCCAGAATTTTCTTCCATGAAGGGGCAAAAGCTAACATCGTGGCACAATTCGACCGAATTCGATCGTGACCTTACAGAAAAAACCAAACTTGTTTGTTTTTTAAGGTCATGAGTCGAGCGATCAGATGTGTACTGTGTACGCGCGGAATGCGGTAATGGGCAGTGTGGATTTTGAGACCCCGATAATGATAGAGATCTAGAAAGCGATCGATATTTCTCATGTCTGTAGTATTCAAGAACCTCTCAACACGGCTAGGCCTACCGCGATATGCGGTACTTGGCACGCCATGAAGCCCTGATAACAGAAAGTTTTGTGTGTTTAATAACACCGTGCGCCGGGAAAAGTTGTCTATACTTCTTGTCAAAATTTGGCACTACGTTAAGGGAAAGACTTATCTCTATTCTGTAATGTGCTCTAAGGCCGCCGTTATTAATCGACCCAACCCGACCCGATTCTATCAGCAATGGACTCCCGGTTGTGCCTTATACCGCAGTCTGCGCACCACTTTGCGCACATCCACCCATTGCCAAAGAGACTCCCCCCAAAAAAACCAAAAACAAACAAACAACAAAAACAACCCCAAACAAAACTCCAACAAACAAGCAACAAAAACAACCCCAAACAAAACTCCAACAAACAAACAACAAAAACAACCCCAAACAAAACTCCAACAAACAAGCAACAAAAACAACCCCAAACAAAACTCCAACAAACAAACAACAAAAACAACCCCAAACAAAACTCCAACAAACAAGCAACAAACAAATACCAACTGTCGCTCTATGCCGGGTGCCCATTGCGGATGGTGTGATGTGGGGTCGATCGCCCGACTCGTCGCCTGAAACGTTCAAACGCATTTGATTTTGAGGCGACGAGTCGGGCGATCGGTTTGTGCCACGATAGCCGCTTTGCGCCCTCAATCTGGCTGGCACACTGACCCGACCCGACCCGAACCGACCC